TGAACTGAGGTGACGAACCCTATACAGTGTTAGTCACCTCAACCATGTTCAGTAGTTGTTTCTGAGATAACTAATGAGACAAGAAGAGAATGAATTGTTTCATATATGTATTTTCCATCTTGCTATTTATAATAAATTGTAACAGCCCTTTCATCTTATAGTGCCCTGAAGATGTTAAAAAAAATTGACAAAACGTCGGCTTTCAAGAAATCTAGTTTTCTCTAATCTAAGACCTAAATCCTAAAAATTGAGTAATAGTCAAAATCAAGTTATCTCTCCTGTGAATTATTTTGGTGAAGTGATGTAGGAATATTATTCATGGACCCCAGTGAAGTATATTACTATCGCCAGATGGCGCCAGTCAAAATGTCTCAAATTCAGACTACAGAGGCGAGTTGCTTGAGTTATTGAAACAGTGGTGTAAGCAAATACTGAAACTTCAGTTGGAGCAATTCTTATAGGCTATTTCAAATCCACTTCAGTAGCATTTTTGAATGTCTCCCATATTAGCGAATAGCAGGAAGACTCACTTATATGTAGAAAGAGGCAAATATAAAACCTGTTAGCACTTGATGAAAAAAAAATCCAAAGACGAAACAAATGACTTGGTCTTGATAGATACTCTGAATAAACAGCCTTGATAGATCATTGAATGTTATGTAACACAGAAACAGGTACCTATAAAAATATATACACAACAAAATGTGAATAAATAAATAATACAGGTTAGTGTACAACATTAGGCCTATTCAAAGAGGTACAAAAAAATACAAACAAATGCCTCAGTTAAACCTGTGGACGGTCCCTATCTTCCTACTAAATTAAAGTGTCGATTAGTGTGATGCTACTAGGGGGGTGAGGGGCAACTTAGCATTCATCATAAACTTAGAGTTAGGCAATATGCATTCGATAAAACTGTTCTGAATATCATGATGGACAAGATCACTGGAGAACCTGGTTCCTGGTCCAACCATATATTTTCTCAAAAGAATAAATTCAATATATGATCAGCGTAAGATTCGCCTGATCATCTTGAACAATTGGATCAGATCAGAGGGGAAAATCATGATATTCAGATTCATTGGTTAATAAATAAAATACTTACAACAAATCTATAAACAAAAAATACATTACTTTATAAAAATATACAGCTTTTACAAAAAATATGTAACATACATATATGGTTATCAACCGATATAAATCATCTGTATTAGGTATTTGATTCGACTCAGAATCGAGTTATACAGCCAACTTCAAGTTATGTCGGCACAACGCCAACTTTGTTATAATTTAAGCTACACAATCGGTCGAACGATTTGACAGGACTCTCCATAGGAGATTGTAATTACCTTGCCTTTTTTCAATAAAACGGAGAAATATCTATCTTTAGCATGAAGATGCATAGAAGCATCTTTGTTGAAAATGTGATTGTAAAACCAGCTGCTTGAATCATCTGATAAGAAATCTCGAGCAGATGACTGATATTTTTTTCTCACTTCGTGATCTCCATTTGGGCAAGTTTGTAGCTTCAATGATAACTAACTCATGAATGATATCCACTTAACTTGAAACATACCTACTGTACGTATGTAGTATATACGGATGTTCCATTTTTATTGTTCAATACAAGGATATACAAAAACATTTCATGGTTATTAAAAATATATAAAAATTCCGAGATATCTCCAAACGTTACTGAAATATTCTGGAAAACTAAATTTTACAATATTTCAATGACTATTTCACTATTAAAAGTATCTAGCTTGGAATTTAGCACTGAGTTCGTCCTGGTTATATTTTTTTTCACTTTTGCCATATACTTTGGGTTGAAATTACTAGTATTTTATGCAATTAGTATTTAATGATAGCTATTAGCCATTACATGATCGTCGGATAAACTATTTTTTCAACGACCAATGAGCAATGAGATGAAAATGAATCAATTTCTTACTATGTGAATATTTCAACATATTATTCCAACATCTCTAGTCCATGAATTGCCTTGCCTATTCATTTGACGCGTTGTGATTGAATGTCAATGGCAGATTTTGCTCCAAGTTGCCTATCTGAGAAACCTCTATCAATGTAAAAGCAACATTATGGAAGTGTGAATACTCGAATGGCTTTATTTTGATGGAATCTGATTATAGGGGTCTACTCAACTTTCTAATAGAAGTAATTCAGGAGAAATAATTGTCCTAGGTGAGTTTCACCTCAAATTGGTAAATTGGTTGAAAATCATGTTGGTGCATCTGCGTTACGTCAATACTGTCAATGGTGTCAATAGTGATGAGTGAATAGTGTCACGAATAGAACACTATTTTAGTGAGTTCGAATCATTAGGGTTTTATAAATATTTAGTTTATCAAATCATCCGTTGAATAATGATCAAGGAACTTTCCTGAAAAAAATGCAAAACCTATACTGAATATAAGATATGAGGATTCTGAAGTTAGTCTGATCACAGATTCAGTAGTGGATCAAGACGTTCCGAAGACTAAGGCGCAATATATTCCAGCCCCCTCTTCTCCATAGAGAAAGGGAATAATTTCTCGTGAATTACGAAAAGTGTTCAAATAATTCCGTTTTATAATAATTTCTTCAGAGATGTTTTTTCGTTGATGGATATTTATCTAAATCAACTCTCGAGTTATATTCATCAACTCTTCTTTGGAAAACAAAACGCTCACTTTTAGCTTATGACAGTAACATAAACGCATATACCTTCTGAGCAGACATCAGTGAAAGGTTCTAAATTCCATTCAATATCAAGTGACTCTCAACAAATTAAGTGGGCATGAAAACTTCAAATTCTGACCCAGAATTGTCTCAGAAATAAGAATGTCACAATATACAGGTTGTTTTATTTAAAAATTCAAAACCGACGCCATTTACGGTTGAACAAGAAGTGAGAAGGAAATGCACAATATGCGAAAACTTTCCTCTTCACATACTTATAGGTAATAAATCTGAATTTGATACACCGAGTGTTCTAGAAGTTATGACCTGCTTTAACAAATCCTCACAATGGCCGAAGGCGCATATTATACAGCGTCTCTTCTAATATTGAACTATGGAACTTGTACTTGGTTTGGCGCCCCCTCGCCACGAGAAATACGAGGGAATAACTCGCCGTAATAGGTAATCATAATGTAGGTTGTTATTAGGTCTTCATATACATATTTGTTCATTTACATTTCATTACCACCCATAACATCTCATGCTATATAATAAATATTATGTTCGAATACCCTGTTTCTTTTACCTTCAGCTACCCTTGAACTTTTTACCTGTTGGAATATTACCACTCGCCAACCATCATGCCAAGCCAACCCTTATAATATCCCTTCTGCCTACTCAAGCCATCAAACTTTACTTTTACTAAAGAATAATAATAATAGAGTTTCCATAACTGAATAATCTGAAATGAGTGATATAAATATGACAAGTAAAATTGAAGACGAAATGACAAATTTTATAAAGTATGCAGGTGAATCAACATGATCTTCAACAATTTAGAAGTGGAGTTCATAAAAACTAATTATTCTTCTAAATAACTTCTATTAGAGAGCTGAGTAGACTCTCAGAATCAGATGTCATCAAAATAAAGTAATTTTAGTAATCAAAGTTTTATGATGTTGCATATACCTTCTGAGCATAAGGAAAATCCGTGTTAAAATAAACAATATTAAGAAATCGGTAGGAGATATTCAATTCACGTATTGTAATACGAGAGAAGAAAAACAAGTGTACTGCACCCTTGTAAGAGAAATGCTTTCCTGTACTTTCTTGTCGCAAAAATTCGATATGGCAAACATTAGGAAAACGAATGTCAATAATACCATATCTCTGGAACTAGTGTGGGCAATGTCAATAACTAATTTCAAACTAATATTTTGATATGTATAAAAATTACTGAATATTTTCTTGATGAAAGTTTTTTTCAGTCATCCAAAATGGTTAGAGATATCCTGGATTTGTTCACATATTCGAGATATCTATGAAATTTTTTTTGTAATCCAATCAGTTACCGACTCAAACAAGAACAATAAGAAAGTCACCCTGTATATCGGTCAATAGCAGTTTTTTACATTGTACCATTACATAAAATCAAAAATATAAAACAACTTTCAAAGTCCTTCAAGCAAATAGTCACAATTTTTCGTGAAACAACTATTTTTTTGCCACCATTTGAACGTGTATGGTGATATTTTATAATTTGATCCCTGGCCTTCCATTCAACTCTTTTGTTGAAATATTCAGTTAGATTACTACAAACTGAATTTGTGGGGTTCAATCAATATTATTTTTCGAATAAATAATAATGATGAAAGACTATACAGAGTGCACATATAAGTGTGATAGGTTTTTGACTTCGAAACATCACTAATTGAGTCAACTAAGGCCAGGTAGCCGTGCGGACAGAGTGTCTATATTCTAATTCGCATTCGCTTACCGGTCGTGGGTTCGATCCCCGCGTCGACTGCAGAAATTTTTCTGATGGCCCAAGAAAGTGTTTGGGATCACACGTTAAAAGGTAAGGCCCCCGTCATTCCTTGCTCGCACAAGACTTTCGAAGACTTTTGAGGGTTGCTCGTAAGGGGGCAACCGAATGACGGATAGAACAACAACAATTTTGTTAGCACAACAACCTTGATAAATTATTGTATAATTATGTATTCCTCACTGCAGCTATGCGACATATTTTTATCATTCTTGAGAGTCGAAGAAGTATTCACAATCAAAAATCAAATATACTGGCGTGCATAAAATTTATGTATTTCGGGCATAACTTGCCTTTATGGACCTTGGCGTGTTAATAGCCCTCGCTATTTTACGCCCCAGATTCAAAAATACCTATTATGGTATATCCATCAACCTCAAAAACTCACGATATTCCACAAACAATATGAACATGGAACATCAGAAGGGTATTTATTATCTTCCCGAAAACTCATCATCACGTGACCTAAAGAGGCAATATAGCTTCGTTCAGTAGTCCGACTAGCAAATTCAAAAAAAATTGGATGAAACCCCACAACCTTAGGACTCAGAGGGGTTGATCAAATTACAAATTGTTGGTTGATTACTATATACTAGCATAGTTGTTTGAAATGTTCACAAGACCACGTGGAATAAACAATAAGTGACTAAGAGGTCCAAATCAAATTGACACAAAATACTGTTCAACGAGAAAATAACACTATGTTATATTTTATTCACGGGCGAAACTGAAATTTCAAATGAAATTGTATAAAGACCTGGTTGATTAAGGATTATCACAGTACCCAAAATGAAATGAAAAACTTTGAATCAGTATCGATTATTGTCAGCTTCCTTATACATTGACTAGAATTACCACATTGAAATATTTTTTTGTCTATTTACATCAAATTCCATCCACATAAGTTATAATATGTATGAATCTAACTATTCGTTGTAGACTTGATCAAAATACTATAGAAGAAACATCTTTATACAGAAAAGTATCATCAAGTTAGAATATCGATTGAAATTGAAATACAAGTTAACACATTTATAGAAAGGGCTTCGATACTATCCAAATTGCAGGTAATCGCTAAAAAGCGTAATAATTGCTGGTGCTAAATGACCTATTTGAATTCAAGTTTATTCATTCACTAGCTTGATCAGCTGAAAGAATCATTGAAATGGTGTACACAATTCCAAAACGTATACAGTAAAACGGGCAAAATTTATAACTTTGACATCAGTTTCCTTTTGAACCTTTCGCTCGATTCCGATTATTCATCCTCGAATTATAGTCTTTTTTTTCAGGAATACATCACATAACTCATTATTGTTCTAGAACGAAGAATGACATCGAAGTGACCAATTGGAGTACCAATTTGGTGAAACTTCAACACCAATGGGGAAGTTTAATTCAGATGAATTTTCATTAAATAACATCGACTCCTCAGTTTTATGTACACGCTGTATAGAAGTCCAAGTCGTTTTTATTTTCAAATTGAAGCAATGTCTTTTCGGAGCAGCAAAGTGTGACGTACATTCTGAATGAAGTCTGAACATAGCTGATGATGAAGAATATAGCTAGCAAATATCTAACGAATCAAAAACGAATGAAAAAATAGAAGAAAAAGAAGATTAAGACAACTTGGCGTCGTTGTTGATTATATCATGAAAACTAACGATGATAAACTAACAAAACAACTATAAACTGTAGACATAGGCTCGTGAATAACTAGAGATCAAAATTCAACACAAGCAGAACTGATCAACAGAAACACATAACCACAAAATTAATTCAGCTCTCGGTGCGCCTGTTTGTTTTTTGTGTGATGCGGGCGGGCACAAATTATTATGCGCTTTTGCACGATATAATCCGCAACTTTCCTAGAAAATAACGAATTCATTTGAATAAAATGATTCACAAGTTATGATTATCATTTTGTAATCAATATAAATAAATTTAAAAATAATAAATACTATTACACAATATCATAATTTATCTTCATTAGTAATCAAGTGCATCCAACAAATGAGAGATTTCGGAAAATTATTCGTAATACTGGACGAAGTAGGATTGAAAAACCTAATAGTTATAATGTTTTCAATGAACAATTTCCGCGAATCAAGACATATTGATGATGTCGGCAACGTCGTACTGACACAGGGAATCGTGTGAATGTGGCTTTCTCTTAAAGTACGTTATAGGAATGGTGAAGGAGTCAAGTTCCTTTTCCGTTTATGAAAGTGAAAAAATACGTATACATTATATGTTTTAAAACTTCACAGTGGAATGAAAACCTCAATTGTATGATCCTCAAACAAAGTTTTTTGATGATTGTCAAATAAACGTCTTTCGTCGCAAATCGAGTTGGATTTTTATTAAAGAAAGAACATTGTGACCGCCCGAATACAGAATTCAGACATCAATATTGGAAACTTTGCCTGTATATGAATGCACAGCGAGAAGAGTTTCAATAATTCCTGATGAATTACACAAGAAATACAAAAAAAAAAACTGTAATGACCAAAGCTTTCGAATCTCAGTTCAATTCGAGAATTAGTATTAGCATATGGCTCAGACTCAGAGCAACGATAATTAGCATCTAGAACAAGAAAGTAATGACGTATCAATGACGTCCCAAGATCACATTTGGTAAAACTTGGTCAGTAACATCACACCACCAAATAGTGGCGTCACTGTGACAATGTTTCTATCTCTCTGATCAATCATACATCAAATAAAACTATATAATTATAGTGATTGTATCATGGAATAGCTTTCAGTTATTAAATATGACTTCAAGCTGAGAAATAATCAGGAAATATGCAATATAGGTAATCATGAAAACGTATAGTGAAATCATTGAAATTGATAATTTCCAGGTAATTATCATTACCATTAGTTTTATTATTTTCTTGGTATTCCACATACATTGTATATATTATAATATAATGGTTATTCGCAGACAAAGAGGACCAAAAGGAAACTGAATGGCATTTCTACTGCAGACATCCCTATTCAATGATTTTTACGAGTACAACGATTCTTGTGTGTCTTCAATATCAAAATTTATCGTCATTGGGGAAGCTTACGTTCTCCAACAAGACGAACGTTGCTTCCTTCTCTGAGCCGATTTTTGAAACATTGTATAAATTCGAAATAAAAGGAAGAGTCTATGATTTTTACAGAATACGGGTATTCGTAGGTATTGGGTACTTTATCTGCAATATCATTTTGAGATAACCATCCTAAAAAACACTGCATAATTTAGGTGATAGTATCATTGAATAGCTTTCAATTATTGATTTGACTCTCAAGTAAGGACTAAACAGGGAATGCCTACTTGATTATTCAATATAGGTAATTATGAAAAGGTATATTAAAATCTCTGAAAGCCCAATTGATTATTTCAGATAATTATTATTATTAGTATTATTTTTATTGTAATAGTACTTTACATACATTGTATATGTAATGGTATAAATTCTAAGATTTGGCTCATATTATCGCCCTAACTTATTTGAAAAAGGCATTTTGAAAAATAATTTCATAATCAGATTATGAGTTACATAGATAAATTCTGTTTTTCATTACTGTTAGAAGATCAGCCTAGGTTTATAGGTAAACACTGAATAAGCTTGACTCGAAACCACACAATTTCTACAATAGTTTTCGAGGGTAAACTACATACATTTTTACAGTGACTCTTTCGATGTTGGTCCATTAAAATTTGATATTCTCTTCAGCGCTGGGCATTTTTCGATCGGACAGCAGCTTTTTTAGTCGGTGTTTGTGCCGTTGTTGCTCTCGAATACGTTTTCAAATTCTTCCTTTCCTTTTGAACAGTCGTACGATGCGGTTCTTCTTTGTCCAGTTCTGCCATCGCTTCTTGGATCGCTTTTTCTAGTTGGCTATTCAATTTGCGACTTCTGAAAACAGAATTGACAGTTTTATATATCTAGGGAGCATTATTAGACCAGTGCTGAAGCGTTTAAAAATGGTAAAAAGTGAAACAAATTATGGTGGGATGAAACACATTGGAAAAGGAAGAGAATATAACAAAAAATGAAAGGGGCAATGTAAATAATTTACGAGCGATCTGAGGTCGGGAAGTGGAAGGGGATGAGCTTTTCATCTTGATTTCCGGCAAAACTACAAGTCCTATGGAAGAAAGTTGAAGAGCAAAGTTGTAGGTTTTAAAAAGTTCAATAACTTTCGTTTCCACACTTTTTTCACATAACCTCAAAATTTATGTGGAAAAGGCAAATAGCAAAGTTTTTGGTTTTTTATTTTTATCTTTCACAACTGGAATATTTTTTCACGAAACTTTGTAAATACCCACTTTTTCATGTTCCAAATATACTGATTTTTTTATTCGAAATATTCATTTCAGATACCAGGTACCAGACAGTAAGCAGTCAATCTGAGAAGTTTGATCATGGAAGAAGAGAGAGGTTAAGAAAATATCATTGTGTCATTCATAAAATTATTCCTTGGAATCTGGTATATGTCTTTTTGATAAAATATGATAAGAGGGTTATTATATATAAAAAAAAAGACTTACTGAAACTCTCAGGTTCAACGAACCCCTAAAACCCCTACCTAGATAGTATGTAGCCAATGTCGATAATTGGCCATTATAGTCCCATCATTTAGGTATATGCTGGGCTTGCTATGGGAAACTAAATGTGTCGAGTATGTTGTACTGGCCTTTTGCCGGGGAACTGAGTAGTAGTCTCTTCCTTTTCGAATGTGTTTCATTCTATCTACTATAATTTTTTTCGGTTTAAAAAATTATCGACCCTAGTCTACTTGAAGGAGGATTCAAGAGTTTTTTTCAGTTCTTGAATTATTAGCAATTTGAAATTTTTCTTCAAACGGTTTCAACTAGGACGTTTTCAAGTCAGATTTTCATAAGGAGTTCTTGATTTACAATACTCAGCTTTGTTTCTTCTTATGGGCGCCATATTGGATTTTGCATTCCCGAAGTCTTCAAATCTGTTGGTTAATCGATGAGTAACAGCTAAATTGCTGTAGTGAGCATAAATCAATTGATTTGCCCTAAAATGTGACTGAGCTTGAAATTTCCTTATTTGACAACTTGAGAGCAAATTGTAGTCTTCAGTCAGTGGCACTTTTGTTTGAGAAAAGTTTGAAGAAAAGGATTATACAATATGAAAATATGAAATGATTATTGAGTTGACCTCTCCGATTTTGTATCTTTGCACTTTTCACTGAAAGAAGTTGTGAGAAGAATTTGCGAGTTACAGTATTTTGGTTATTCTAACGCCTTGGAAAATACAGTAACAAAGGTTAACAGATTCTTTGTGAAAAAGTGCCTGGAGAATGCCATAGTCAACAACTTGTAGGTTTCTTTGGTTTTCGCATGCGAAAAATATGAACATGTCCATTTATTTCCAATTTTCCTAGCTGAAATGGCCCCAGAAAATTCATTTTCAGATTACTCTTCAACAAAAAATTATCTGAAATCCCTATGATGAAACAAAAAAAATACAGGGTGTTTCACTACTAGGGGGGCAGGTAGCCGTGCGGACAGAGTGTCTATATTCTAATTCGCATTCGCTTGCCGGTCGTGGGTTCGATTCCCATCGACTGCAGAAATTTTTCTGATGGCCCAAGAAAGTGTTTGGGATCACACGTTAAAAGGTAAGGCCCCCGTCATTCCTTGCTCGCACAAGAATTTCGGAATGACAGATAAAACAATTTTTTTATTGTAAATAATTTCACTAATTCACCTAGATGAAATTGGTCTTATGTTTGAGTTACAGGGCATGTTATTCAGAAAGCGAGTGACTGATTGATATCACCCATATATTTCGACACTGGCAGAATTGCAATTTTATCGCAATTTTTGAGATGACATTATTATTTCTTGCGATATTTTCAGTTGTACATGAAGCTGCACAATTATCTTGATTTCAATGTTTATTGATTATGTCGGTGTTTTGGGTAATCAGTTGATTGCATTAATCATGCAAATTCAACTCTTATCTGTACCAACAGAAAAATACAATTTTTTTCATGAAAAATATATTGAAAGGGACACATTTTTTCCAGGTGATTGGGGTCATATCTTCATATTTTGAGCTCAGGATTCTAAAAATGAAATATTCCTGATTAGTAATGAAACATCAGCAAACTTTTTTGAAGCATCATTTTTGGAAATTTGCTTCAGGCGGTATATCTCTTTTATCTCAAATCAAAATGCCATTCAAAGTGTAGTATACCTTGGACAATGATTGACAATATTCGAACTGAACGAAAATTAATTCGATAGAGGAAACTGATTACTCATATTGTATGTATCATACTGACACCAACAAAGCATGCTGTAACCAGTATATCTCAAACCTTTAACGTGAGATATTATTATTTCTCCTGTGGGAGTAAAATGCCAACTTTACTTCCTGAAATGATGGAACAAACGCATACTTCCGATCCAGTGGGTAATTGAATAAAATTATATCAATAGGTTGTATGCCGTCCATGTTTTCTGGAAATCCCAAATTTGTCTAAGACGAGATCAAATGGGCTATGATACCTAGTGAGTTGATAGAAATTCTCCATTATGTAACAATGACTGTTGACACAGCAAAATAAGTTTTGCAATTATAACAATGTATACAATGGAATCAGGTATTTGGCACAAAAAAAATAAACATTAAATAATCTACGAAAATTACAAGTAGGTACCTACAGAAAATCTATAAAAAAATCTACTCATGCAGTTCATACTAATTTCAAGCATAACTACCAAATTGTTTTCTTTGACATTATTCATTATAAATCATAATTCCACTAGTTTTTTGCCACCGTTGGAAAATCATCCATTTTTTATCACGTATGAAATCGAGGGTGTCTTCGCATTGTTTCGTTGGACTTGAAGAAATATAAGATACATATTTTTGTTACAATTAAATGTATACTCAACAATTTTCCTAAAATTCTAGGTTTGGAGGCTGAGTGAATTGTCCTTGCTGATTCTCAATGAATAAATGTACAAGGTCTGAGGTCAGGTTAGGTTTTAGGTCACTGAGGTCGTCCGGTGCTAGTATCTAAAAATACAGTATTTTGTCTACTTCTCCATGAACAAATCATATCACCCTCACACGATCCCTGAGGAGTCTATGGAATCTGACACATGAGGATAATTGCGGAAGCTATAGAAAAAAAAATCTGAGATACCGCCGCTGGACAACCTACATACCAGTGACGGCTCGTCAGGGACGGCAGGGTCGGCCGGGCCGTACCAAATAATTTGGGGAAAATTATTGATCTATTTGATGAATAAAATTATTTTCCGAAACTGTTCATAATTCATGGTTCATTATCCTACTGTTATGCCACTATTATTTGAATCGCGTAGCTCATTACACTGATGCAGTCGGCCGGCCGATCGGTGGTTTCTTGTCTCGATGCATCGCCTACAGATTCCCCGCTTCAAGTTTAAATTCTCGCGTATACACGTCATACCTTTGGTGCGGCCAAGCTCTGCTGGCCGTCCGTACGTACGTAATCAGTAGATGTCAGTAGTTTGCAGTGCGCTCGCTGTGCACCGTATCCGACCATTCCGACATTTCCGACCTAATTTTCAATATACGGATTGGCATGATTGACATTCTATTTTCATTTTACATTGTAGGTATTCATAATTTTTATTCCTATACTTATTTCTAAATTGATGTTGAAATTTGAAATGTACAAACTGAAAAAAAAAATAATTTCGATTTTCGATGTTTTTGTTCACGCTTGCAGTAGTTGCAGTAAAAATGACTGAATTTGCAATTTTTCAGTAATTCAAAATTCAACATATCCATTTAATATTGGTATCAGAATCTTCCTTCAGTGCTTCTGAGCGTCAATAAGTTATAATTCCCTCTGCCTCTGCCGATGTAGGTAATATGGCAAGAAAAATGTCAGCAGTCCAAGAGCTGAGTACCTAGGTATTGAAACATCGTAAAAAAGCTCTGGTGACGAAAATGTAATAAATGTATAACTTCCAGAATATCATTTATTTTCAAAGACGCATGTAGCGCTGTAGCGGTTATAAATAATATTTATGCATCCATCGCGGGAAACATTATACCTACGCCTGCACGGCGGGCTCGGCCAGCCGACTACGAAGGAGTGGGGTGGCTTGTTACAGGAACGGCGTAGACAGATTAGTCATTGTTGTGCTTTTCGCGTTAGGTGAGTGGTTGTCGGTTATGTTGATTTTTTTGAGTTTACGTTACGTTTTCAACAGAATATAAATATTTTTTGTTCATGAGTTATTTTATTTTCTATTATTTTATATTTTCGACTTTCTTGTTATTATTTTTTCATACCAACTAACCCTCATCCACCTCCTTTTCCTTTCCCCATTTCCCCTGGCCAGAATGCTCTAACCTCCTCGTGGTTCTTGCTGGACAATTTAATTTTTTGGTTATGTGTGCAGGGTGGCCAACTAAGAATTCAGAGTTCGATATCTCTGTTGTCTTGAGAGATACAAAAAAAATCCATGAATCAAAATTGTAGTAATAACCGAGATTCACATTTCAAAATTTATTTGAAATACACAGGGTGTTCCGTAAGGTCACAGTACATCGAAGCTATGTTTTTTTCTTTGGAACACCCCATATTTTATTTCATTTTTGAATTCTCCCTGAAGATCTGGATTCAACGACCCATCATACTTAGGGTCTAGCAGTGAAAGTTACTGACATATTATTATAGGGTTTGCAAAATCGAGATTTTCCAAGTTCAGGATTTTTTTCTGTCGAAACTGTTGATTATTCGTCAAAACGGTTTACATGTCCCTATCTCAACTTTTCAATCACTATCAATTGGTGTTCAATTGACATTTAATTGAAACAAATTATTATAAATATAGATTTTTTGACCACCTTGTATCAATTTCAATTGAACACCAATTGATAGTGAGTGAAAAGTTCCAATGAAAAAAACATAGCTTTGATGTGCTGTGACCTTACGGAACACCCTGTGTATTGCAAAGAAATTTTGAAATGTGAAGCTTGGTTATTACTTCAATTTTGATTCATGGATTTTTTTGTATCTCTCAAGACAACAGAGAAATCTAACTCTGGAGTCTTAGTTGGCCACTCTGTACATGATTATTTGCCATCGAACTTCACTTAAGCCGCTGACCCAACGTGTTACGTTCGCATTTTTCTCTTTCATTTTAATCCAAAAAATTAAGTTGGCGAACTAGAGCAAAATCTATACCCTGGCCGACCCAGGTTCTGAGGGCACGAGCCGTCACTGCTACATACGAACACCAACTTGTTGAGATTGTCGAATTTTTATGGATGAACTTGAAGGTTAACATTGATGTATGGTGTCTTTGCTTGATAACACGAATTCAATAAGAAAAACATAATTTTAAAATAACTATGACGTGATCAATGTTTCTCATAACAACGAAAACAGATTATCGTAAAATGAACAAACATTTATTCTAATTATAAACTTCTAGTTATATTAATAGCTTCATTTTGAATGCGACGATACACTACACCTTCTTCAGTTGTATTACAGAAAGCAACAATTGAATTTCAGAGCAGTCACTTGTATCTCAGAAAATATCAATTGAATTTCATGAAAGTCAAATGAATGTCAGTAAGCAATCACTTTATTTCAGGGCAGGACTTGTATTCAAGGGCAAATCCAGCCCTCGCTTGAGAGGGGGGGGTCAAAAACAGTAACAGTTATCATTTCTGTATCCGAACTCTCATCTAACTAATACCATTCAGTGACTCTAGTCAGTTCCATTTCAGAAAATACTAGTTGTACGTCAGAGAAGTAGAATAAAGTTTAGAAAGTGTCAATTGTATTTCAGAATAGTCACTTGTAATTCAGCAAGAATCAATTATTGTATTTCAATATTGTGAATTGATGAATAGAAAAAAAATATTTGAACCTCAGAAAATCCCAAATAATATATAGAAATTTGATACAGTGGCAGTGTTGTTTGAGGACTTTGAGGGCTTGCTTTTGTTGATGAAAACTGTGTTCATAATATTGAATATTGTATTAAATAACATCACTAAGACGTTACGAAGCGACTCATTATGTTACAATACATGAAAGTTAATTTATCAATGCACATACACACATTTATAAAAATTTCGATTCATTAGATTCATAAGTACAGTGTGACGAACGCAAGATGAAGATTCTCCTGTATTTCAGTCATTTCTGAGAGCAGAAATTTGATTTTCGGTACATTCATAGACCTTTATGGCCGCACTACTCAGTCCGAGTGACAGTCTCAAACCAAGCCCACTGCGATCCCGCGAAAACTGCAAATTCTCGATATTTTGCTTCTCATTGGAGATACTAGAAAATGTTATTTAACAAAGTTTGATTTTGACCCTACATACCGAATTTCAATGCAAAATTCGAATTTCTGATTCCGCGAGTAATCCAAACACTTCGTGATTTCATTCATTTATCTGTGATTGGCGTTTAGGATTGTCGGTACTTGTCACATCTGCCTAAATATATAATGAATTGCTGAATAGAGATAGGTATACGTATTTTGAACTGCCGTTTCTGTAATGAATGTGAGCACTCAGCTAAATTAATAATTCCGAAAATGAATGCACTCAAGAAGTAGAAAGTCATTTTTATAGGGACAGTAAACATCATGAGCTTACGAGGCATAGATATAATTTTAGATATGCGGATGGACTTTATTTAGGAATCAAAATATTGCATCAGATATAAAATATTAAATGAATCGCGATGTCTATCTAGTGTTATTCAGTCTAAGAGTGCTCTCGACCCGCTCGATAGTGCGATGGTGATCGTCGGTTTAATAGTGAATTGCTGAGTAGAGATAGGTATATATATTTCGACCTGCCGTTTTTCGTAATGAATGTGAGAACTCACCAAATTAATAATTCAGAAAATGAATGCACTCAGGAAGTATAAGGACATTTCGAATTAGGACAGTAATCATCTAGGTATATGAACTCTAAATATCCGTATCAAGTGCTTACGAGGCATATATAGAATTTTATAATCACCAATATTAAAACGCGGATGAACTCTATCAAGGAATAAAATTATTGCATCAAATATAGAATGAATCGCGGTTTCTTCTATAATTGGTCTAAGAGTGCTTCCGACCCGCTCGAACTCACGTTTTCCAGCCTCGAGGCCTTCTGACAGCGTCTGCAACATCTCATTCTTCATGACGGCGACCGGCTTCTCCGTGCCGAATGCGCTAACTAACTCGCGCACGGCGAAGGGCTTAGTTTCTCGAAATTTATAATACTGTATTAACGTATGATATCGACCCGTTATTATAGTGTATGGACCTGATCAACAAGGTGCAAACAAACATGTAAGCACCTTTATATCTACTTGTCACCTCTGCCTGAATATATAATGAATTGCTGAATAGAGATAGGTATATGTATTTTGAACTGCCGTTCTGTAATGATTATAAGGACTCAACTAAATTAATAGTTTCGAAAATGAATGCACTCAGGAAGTAGATATGAACTCTAAATATCTTCATCATGTGCTCACGAGGCATAAATATAATTTTGAAACCACCAATATTGATACGTGGCTGAACTCTATTTAGGAATCGAAATATTGCCACATATATAAAATATGAAATCAATCTCGATGTCTGTCTAGTGTTATTCAGCCTAAGAGTGCTCTCAACCCGCTCGAACCAACGTTCTCTATTTCTTGCTAGCGCGATGGTGATCCTCGCTATATCTAATAGTGAATTGCTGAATAGAGATAGGTATATGTATTTCAAACTGCCGTTTCTGTAATGATTATGAGGACTCAACTAGATTGATAATTTCGAAAATGAATGCACTCAGGAAGTAGAAGGTCATTTTGATAGGGACAGTAATCATATAGGTATATGAATTCAAATATCCCCATCAAGTGCTTACGAGGCATAGATAGAATTTTATAATCACCAATATTAATACGTGGATGAACTCTACTGGGGAATCAAAATATTGCATCAAATATAGAATGAATCGCGGTTTCTTGGTCTAAAAATACTCCCGACCCGCTCGAACTCACGTTCTCCATTTCTTTCTAGCGCGATGATGAGCCTCGAGGCCTTCTGTCAGCGTCTGCAACCTCTCACTCTCCATGACGGCGACCGGCTTCTCCGTGCCGAACCACTTGACTAAGGCGAGCCGGTCGCGAGCCTCGACGATCTTGCCGGGCCAGAAGGGCCGGCCCTCTGCCGGACCCCATACTAACTCGCCCACGGCGAAGGGCTTCGGGACGTTGGTATGGTCTGTTGGTTGGGTAACTTTTTGGTTTTGGGTTCGCGGTGGCGGTGGCGGTTCGACAACGCGTTAGTTGGATCATTTACGTAGGGGTTGCCCAAAATAATTAGTTGCGCTGAGTTAGATCACAATATAATGACTTATTGAACTCATTCAGTAGAAGAGCATGGAGAATATCGAATCTATAAGTCTATTGATGGCTTAAACGATTCAGGGCTCTCGCTTCGCTCGTGTGGACTGATAGTAATAAACGGAGAAACACGCCAACATTGTAAAGTATAAATTATATAAGTATTTGCATTATTTGCTAAGGCGGAGGTTTCAACGACCTATGCGCTTGCAATGAAGATTTCAGAGTAATAACGTCATATTTAGACACTTAAATGACACGCAGTATAATGTTTGATTTGAAATTTTGTGCAATCTCGACTTCCACTGGTAGAACCACAGGCTAGAACGTTTAACACGTTCACTGCTACATTTTGATGGATGACATACCCAGAAGCGGCTATTCGTTTTCGAACAAAAAATATCATTCAACTACTCTGATGTCAATTTCGACATGTGTTGCGGATTCGTGCCTTGAGTATATTTAATCTACTTAGGAAAACCATCCGGAACGATTTTTTCAGAAGGCTCGATACCTATGATACTACACGTCAACGTACGTCTACCTTCTATTGGCGCTCAGTTCATAATGACAATAAAACAATAAAAGTGAGATTTTGCATGCGTCACGGATCCGCGCCATGAGCAGTCAACGTGTTAACGGTATTCCCAATCCGAATCTACTGTGAAACAGCTGACAACAGAATTACAAGCTGCAGTATGGGGTACTAGCATACTTTGCAAAAATTGTTCTTCAGGAACTGCAAAGGACATGTCTTCCCATGGGTAAGAAGATTCTATATTTTTTTTCACAAGTTATTATTAAGTTTGCCTGAAAGCAAGAATGCTAAGTTGCAGTGAATTGACTTCTACAGACTAGAAGAATGGGTGATGTTCGCCTCAACTATTCGAGTGCTTTGTTGTGTATAATAGCGACGTTTATTTCGAATATACCTACATAGTTGTTTTTTTCAATATATAGTGTTTTCAATCACACCGATAGCTTTTGTTCTACTGTATTCTAATCAATTAATAATTCTTTGACATGTTTTCAACCTACGCAGAGACATAAAATTTTCAATAATCTTTCAAAAATGAGATCATCAACTACCTCAGTCTTCAGTGCTCTTATTATTGATTTATAGTGATAGGAGCTATAGGATTTCGAAATTCCCGCCTTATTCAGGTGCAGATATATTGTCTCCTATAATTATTGTTGGCGTATTTCCCACACATTGTTTTTTCAGACGATTAGCATCCATTTTAGCAAAATGCGATTCTGGATGCTCTAGGGTTGATAGTTGGTTATTGGTGATAAGATACCCATAGCAGCTTCCAAATGGTTCGACACATCTCGGACGAATTTATGATGACATTCAAACGCGTGAAATTCATAACGTATCCACGAATATGTCAGTATCAATCACAATATTACTGCGAAGTAAACGCTTACGTATCGACAACATTCCAAACTCGATTTTCGATGAACACGAAATGAATATGTTGAAGCAAGGAACAACTGCAGCCAAACAATAGATGCATCAAAAGAATCTTACAATGCCAAAATAAGATCGAAATTGCTCCCGTTCGTTTTGGTCCCTCGCTAAAGCAGTCGGAAGAAATTTCACTAATAGTTCATTCCCACCACTCTCCAATGCCGATCGCACAACATAAGCACCAACATCGCAAGAGAAAGCGGAGATTTTTGCAGATATGTTCGCAGCAAACTCCACCATGGGTTCCCAGGGAAGAGTGTCGCCAGACATTCCATTCGTTGAAAGTCAACGCACTGTCAGAAGCATTCGGTCTCAAAAGGGAATAAGTCCAATGGTCCTGATGGAATTCCACCCATTATTCCCCAAAAATGTGCACCAGGATTGACACCGATTCTCTGCAAGCTATTGACTTAACATCTCCTACAAATCGGGTATTTTCCATATTGCTGGAAAGTAGCTATAGGCCAACCAATCCCCAAAAAAGAAAACAAGAGTCTGCCCAACAACTATATATGGGCCAATTGCCCGGTTATCAGTCATCTCTAGAGTGATGGAGCTCAGGAATCATTAATGATAGACAATATGGCTTTCGTCACCAAAGATCAACTGGAGATTTACTTGCCTACGTCACCCATATATGGCAAGCTTCATTAATAAGAGATGGGGGAATCTCTAGCTATAGCGTTAGATATATTGAAGGCATTCGACCGTATTTGGCACCAAAGACTGCTCCACAAACTACCATCATACGGCTTACCACCTCAGCTATGTCATCTTTTAACCAATTTTTATTTGTTTCAGGCAGATCGCTCCATGTGGTGATGGACAGAGTATGGTCTGATACCATTTTCATCAATTCCGGAGTTCCACAAGGATGAATTTAGGCAACAACATTGTTCCTACCTCATTCCTACGATCTATTGGGAACAACCACTTGGCCTGTCCACAGGTTTGCAGACGATAGTACTCTTCATAATACTCTTCTAGAATTCCCATTTCTTCCCAGGAAACTAAGAACTTCTTACAGCCTGGGGAACCTACAAAACAACCTACTTAAAGAACCAACGCCACCGAAACTCAAGCCTGTATATTCTCTAGAAAAGTGGAACTCAGTATGCCTGATATAACAATGTCTGGTACCAAGACCACTATATATATGCTTGGTATTACCATCAGCTATACTTTCTCATGGGAAAATCATGTCCGATCCATCGCAGAAGCTGCTTTACAATGGTGGGTGATGCCACACTCACCAACTCTTTGACCTCATCAGAACACCGTAGAAAAGTCGGCAACCTTGTACTTTTCTATAAATACTACCACGGGAAATGTTCCTCAGAAATCTCTGCTATTATTCCATCACTAGCAATACCAGTCAGACGAACTAGACAGGCCCAGTCAGCACATACCTTCGTCGTTAATCTTGAAAAATGTCGAACAACACTCTATCAAAACTCGTTCGTCTATATAACAGCGAATCTTTGAAATTCTTTGCCAATGGATGTAACCACATTATTCTTTTATGAAAGGAATGAATGAATCGGCCTGGATGGAAAATTAGTTTGAAGACCAGCAAAATTTGTGAGGTACATACATAAAAATGCAATTTTTATGACAGTAGATTAGACTGAAAATATATTTAAGGCCCATTTTCATACAGAAGATTTTGAGATAAGTTTGAGAGAATCTGCTGTTTCATTCATTTACAAAACAGACTATTTGAAAAGAGAATCTAGTATCATCACACGAACTGCAAAACAAAACTGTCATGAAGAAAGAGGAATTGATTGCAAAATCACGTTATGGAATTGAACATTTGAGAACAAAACTGAAGAAATCAAGTAAATTGCAATGTGATTGTTATTGAATGGCGTTTTCAATGCCGACCGAACTAGCTATAAGTATATCCATGTATGTGTTTATACCCTATTTCTATTTTCTATCTGCGGCTATGATTGATTTGACAGAAAATCTAACCTCTATAATCGTATCTGACAATCAGACACTATAAGGGAAATTGTAAAGACAAAGAGCAGAATATATGTCTCATTCTTTTATTCACTCAAACCATTGTAATATAAAAAATAGAAAAGGACAGAAGTTCAGCTGTTCCCAACATTTCATTATACAACAGTATTTATCAGTTACACTTCGATATTAAAATTTGTGAAGACGGATTAGTTTTCTTCTTTATTTTTTTCAATTTTGCATCTACAATGATGTCAGTAAGCAAAAGTCAATTTCGAGTTGTTATATATCAAAAAATCAAACCTTCCGGAAAAAAAATCACGAATACGTCAACTACGCATAGTACATTACTGGTATCTCTATAAATACATTTATTTGCTGGTAATTTTCGGGATGCGAATGACACAAAATCATGCTTGATAGCCTGCCTATCTAGGATATTGTTCCTATAAGCCCAATCAGCATAAGGAAGGCAAGCAACGTGATTATGAGGTTGAGGCGTTGGAATATCCACTGGCATAATTACTATCTAGACCGATATGGCATATCCCAGCAATTCGAAAATCTCGTTCAAACTTATCGAGTCATGTCTCTTAGAAATATAAGTAAGAGTGAGTTATAGCGTTTTCCACTGGCAGATTTACACTAGCACAGAGCAAGTACTAGTGGAACTGGCCGTTACCACCGATACAACAAGGCCTGCATGCTCCGTGGGTGACGTCACTTAGTGAGGCCTGACCAGCGGCTCGAAACGACAAGCGCTTATAGCGCTATAAGGCGACCGCGTATTTCGATTTCAGTTTTAGATCATCATTGAGCCGATTTTGCTGTTTTTCGAAGGGCTTCCGGTTAAAAAAGGATGCCAGTCGTCAACCGAGCCCTTCTTCGCACCCCATTCGATTTTATCATGGAAAAACGAAGTTTTAAAGCAAAAACCAGGATAAAACACAAATATCCACCTACAGCAACCCATTCGAATTAAATATATTGGCAAAAATTGTGGTGAAGGTAAACTTCACACCTACTTATACAGGGCCCGCAGAACTTATCGTGAGATTGATCGAAAGACAATTGTGGAAAATGTATTTTATTTTGATTGACATGCCGTTTGTTACAATTACCTATATTTATCTTGGAGAATTCCTATTACCTGAAAAAATAACCAGTGAGTGTTTTCAATTTTCTGTCGTTGGATTTTTCACCCAAGTGGATCGTTACACTTGAAACCGTAATTTTTAAGGGTAAAACTGCATTTATCATGCGATGGTTTTTTGTTTTTGAAAATTTTTTTCGGTACTCACGTATTTTTGTCTGATAAACCGAATTTTATAATGAAAATGTGAACAAACCACTATTAATTGAGATATTTCAAGAAAAATTTCGGAATTTTGGGGGCATTTGAAACTACTTGCTCTTATTTTGTCATTGGACACTTTATATACTCATGATGTACTTCGATGGCACATTTTTATATAGAAAATTCAACAGGAAATATGATTTTTATGGCGAGTTTTTCATATTTAGTGAACAAGCATTCCAGATGACGACCATTTAATCAATAGTCAATCAAAATACGAGATGTCAAATGTCAATAGATTGCTTTCGAATGACATTACACACGCCATTATTTTGAATGATATTCTTCATTCTTTTCACTAAATATGGATTAATCTCAAGAAAATCATATTTATAGTTGAATTATATATAAATTGTCCAATATGATGAAAAAAGAACGGAAATTTGTTCTAAATGCCATCTAGAAGACAGGTGAAAAAGAAAGTGAAATTTGGAACTTTTTAGTCAAATATCTTCATGATAAATATCATGATAAATGCAGTTTTACCTTTTCAAGTAGAGTGTTTGTAGTTCATGTTAATATGATAGTTGCAATTTTATCATTGGAATGAATTCTGCATTCATTGCCACGAGGCAAATGACCGTTTTCAGGAAGAAATTTGAGAATGAGAATTAAAAATGCCCGTTTATTATGAGCATTCAAGAAAATTTCCCCGAATTCAGAGATGATTTTGTTGACTATAATATACGAATACAAAACTAACTGCACAATCAAAGCTTTCCAATTTTTCCTCTACTTATACTTTTTATGAGAGAGTAATTGTCTTCTATTATTAATTCATCATTATAAATTAAGCTCTGTTTACAACTGAACTTAGATGGAGTAAAATCCTCGCAGTGAATTACCCACATTTTCGATAGCTCCTCGTCCAACGGGAAACTAAAAGCATGAACTTTTGAACCACCCACATAATTCCCCCGACAAAGGGGAACACAACACTTGAAAGGCATTGTTATTTCGCCGATCACAACACAAAATATTTCACAAAACAGTAATTTTTCTGCCAATTATTTTGATGAATAAACAACAAAAGAATTCGGGACCGTTTCAAAAACATACGTGAATCACCGATGAATTAACACGAACTGACGCGTTAGTCGACAAGCGATAAAATAAAACACTGGCCTCTCTTGGCGACGTCACGAGCTGTTTACGTCAGAGTCTGCTGGCCTTGTTGTATCGGTGGTAACGAACTGGCTCGGTTTTTCCATAGAGTGCGTTAGTGCGGTTCCAGCACAGAGCAGTGGAATAGAAATCGAGAGAGAAATGTCAGAACTGCTTTGTCAATCAAAAACTTAGATTATTGATAGTACATTTGTTTTCGCTGGTCCACATGAAATGGATTCATCCAACTCTTGTGGTTCGTCTGTGAGCACTTCAAGAAACAGTCTTATGAATGTTCATTATTATATTATAATGATGTTTAATTGTTCAATGTCAACAATAGTGACTCAGCATTGAAGTGCCGTCTACGAAGTTAGTATTTTTCATCTGTTCGGATAGCAAGGCTATCTGTCATTCCAGACCAAGCTCGACATCGGTACAGGAATGTGGAAATCCCTTTGAGATATTAGTCGAAAAGGAAGTTGAACTGGTATGGGTCCCGGGTCGCAGTGGGATGCCCGGAAACGAAACAATAGACGAACCTTCTAGAGCCGGATCCGCGCAGCCGTTTCTGGGACCGGAGCCTGTACTAGGTATAGCAAGGAGCCAAACTACGTCAGCCCTTGATGAATAGGCGGACGAGGCACTAGGAGAATACTGGAGAAATATCATAGGTTGCAGGCAGGACAAGGAATTTGTGGCCGGTCCGAGCAAATCAAGGAAGGACTGGCCGCTTGGCACAGACCACCAAGTACTCCGCCTCCTCATAGGAGAACTCACAGGACACAATAGGCTAGGCAGACACCTAACACTTATGGAAATAGGGTACAACCCCACTTGC